TTTATTTTTCACTTGATACACAGCATGCAGCTCCCATACTTGTTAATGAAGTATCTAAGAGAAAATTCAAGGCAAAATATAAAATCCCAGAGCAATCTAATAAGTTATTGGATATAGCAGGTACTATTGTTTTCTCCTCCTCATTTGCTGGCCCAATTTTGAAAAGTTGTTATTTTGCCAGTTAAATGGATGATTCACTTTATCTTGGTTAACTCCTAAAGCATAGACTAGATAAAACAAATACATACTCCTTTTTAACTAATCCTTCTAAAATCCAAAAAGCCCTGGAGTTCTCACACTAAGCAGCCTCTCTTTTTAAAATGTACTGTAAATGTATCCTTATCTCTAGCACAGGCTTGCAAGCAACAGGAAGGAAACAGCACTGACCACGTCATGGCAAATTAGAACATGCAAAAAACTGCACGCTACAATAGCAAAAAACAGAAATGCAACTTAGGAATGTAAACAGCTTCATTGGAGGGATATGTGCTTACAACTCCCACGTTCTAATTTATTCAGCTGCAATAAAAGGTAGAGGCAGCTGAAATGGGCTCAAAGTGATAAGCTGTATCACATTTTTTTCAAATGGGACATAAAATGTGATCTTATTTATATGACTCATATATTAAGTAAACTGATAAGAAAAAGCTGAGAAACGTTTTTAAAATATAGCCCAAGATTTTCAAGAAATAGGTGCATAAAGCTAGATGCCTAAGTCCATATTTAGTGCCTAAATATGGATTTTGGACCCTAACTTTAAGCACCTATTTTTGAAAATATCAGCCCATGGTTCCACCCACTGCATTAAATTCAGATCTCCTAAGACAGTTTTCTGTCAGGGTACACGTACCCCTGGGGGGACGCAGAAATCTTCCAAGGGGTATGCCAACTCATCTTATTTGCCTAGTTTTACAACAGGTTCTAGAACCATGAAGCAGGACAGGGATCCCCCATGTACTGCTGCGATAACAGAGGAAGAAGGATAAAAATTCAACAAACAACGTGGGAGCGGGTGGAGTGGGTATTGTAAGGTGGGATGGGGCAGGATTAAAAAAACAGTCCTCCCGTGTCGCAAACAACATGAATGCCCCAGCTAGCAGCCCCCACTTTCCAGATGCCCAGCTCTGAAGGCAGTGGCTGCCGCCAGCAGCAGTGCAGAAGTAAGGGTGGTACAGTATGGTATTGCCATTCTTACTTCTGCACTACTACTGGTGGCAGCATTGCCTTCAGAGCTGGGCAGACAGAGAGTCTTGGGGTACAAACTTGGGGTACAATCAGACTCCTGAAAGGGGTACAGAAGTCTGGAAAGGTTGAGAACCACTGTCCTAAGACACAAGTTATATATTAAATATTGTAGCGGGGTAGTCACCCCGCTCCGGTCCAGAGGGGTTAAAAACAGCCCTGGGAGGGGGCTGTGGCTTGAGAAAGCAGCTTTTAGGCTGAGCTGATTGGGGGAAGTGGCTGCAGCTGGGGCCACGCCCCAAACAGACTCAGCTGGCCCTATAAAGGCAGGGAAGCGAGGGGCAGATGGGAAGTGTCTCTCTGCTTGTAGAGAGAGAAGGGCCTGGCTGCAAGGGAGCTGAGCAGGGCTGGGGGGGAAGGCTAGAGGAGCTGGGTAGCTCCAGTGTGGAAAACCCCCAGGCTGCGGGCCTAGCTGAGGGCCTAAGACCAGTACTGTGGCTGCAGAGAGAGGCAGCAGGTCCAACCCAACCTTGCCTGTGATGAGTGGCGTACACTGCAGTCTGCCCCAGTGAGTGGGGGCTAGATGGTGACTGGCAGTAGCCATATTCTGAGGTGAAGTGGGGATAGTGGGTGGGGGTTCCCCTGGGAGGGGGAGACCCAGAATTGTGGGTACTGCTGGGGGGAAGCACCCAGTTAAAGGGGCACCGGGGTCCAGTAGGGATACGGGGGCCAGCAGCGGCAAGGTGGATCACTGGCCTGAAGAGGGCACTCTGGAAGCTGGAGAGCTAATTCCCGGAAGTGACCAGCAGGAGGTGCCGCCAGGTGAGTCTGCGCCAGCTTCCAGACATATAGCAATCAACTGTGAAATATACATTTTGAGCCAGCCAGATCCTGTGGCCATTAAAGTCAAAGGCAAAATTTCTAAATGACTTTAAAGGGAACAGGATTTAGCCATTTCTGATTAACAACAATTGTGTTTATATACAATACTGATCTTGTTAAAGGGAGGGGATACAGATTCTTTGGTTTGTTTTTACAGTGGAATAAGACAGGGAGAATGGAATTGCCTCTCTATTTCCCTAGCATCAAGAAACCTAATTAGGGAGGCGATGTCATGTGCTATAACTTCAGGAAATCCAACAGCTGGGCCTTCCTCTCTCAGGGGACACAGTGTCTGTTGTAGTATTCCCTAATTAATTAATTACAATTACATGTTAACAAAGAGTGTAGTATAAAGCACTCAATCTTCCTCTTCCAAAATGAGGAAACCCAAGATTGTACAAACATGAGAACCCCCACAACTTCTAAGTTAAATTCCCCATGAGAATAATCATAGCTCTAAATAAAAGGGCATATACTCATTTGAGTTTTCTTAATGGAAGCCACATAAATATATTTTTAAAAATATTTGTTTAATTTTTCAACCTTAAAATAAATTATTTTGTAAAGCACCTATAGTATTTGTGAGGGTCTCCATGTATCCTCAGAATACACATACAGGTTGCAGCAGTGCAACGACTCTAGGTTGCCTCTCAATGTTTCTAATCTTTAATCTTGAGGGACACTTCTAACCTCCCTTACCATTTATTTCTTTGCCTCTCTTTTGAGAAAATGCAAATGCCAATAGTGTCAGTCATATGCTCACTAATCTCATTTCACATCGGCCACCTAGCAGCCTGTTTGCTGATATTCAAAATGAAGGATACAGCAGCAAAAGTAAAGTACTGTATATACTCATTCATAAGCCGAATGTTTTTGGTAAAAAATTGACGCATCGAAGAGCGGGGCCTTATAAATGGGCCTACACCAAAATTTGATGATTTTAAACTCTATGGAATCATTGAATTGAATATCTAATACATTGTCGTTTTGTTTACCTGGAGCGTCTGCAGGCATGGAGCCCCTCAGCTCCCTGTGGCTGCAGTTCGCCGTTCCCAG